GCTGGACATGTCCGGGAAAAACCGGACGTATGGTAACCCTAGTTTGTTGCCTCCCCTTGTATCCTGCTCCTGATGTCTCAGACAAAACATCCCTATTCATTATTCTGTCACACCAGCTTATTTTACAAGGGGTCAGTGAGTTCCTGTATCATCTGTTAAGAATCGGTTTACACAGTTACTTGAGAACTCTTGATGTTCTTGAACCATCCTCTCCTGTCAGGAATGTGCTTACTTGGTTAGTCAATATCTAGTGTGCTGTTATTTTGCCAAGACCAGGCCTACTGTGGTTCACAGCCTTTGGTTCACACTGTTAGTTATGCCTAGAGCTCCAGCAAGGCCTGCACTCTGTAACCATTATGCACCCCATGTCCTCTGCCAGTTGGCACCAACAGGTCCTTGGGTCACAATATGACATAAACTAGCAGTAACACCTTCTTCCAGCCCCCCGACATGTGCTACATTACCTCACATTTTCAGCTACCTGACAAGGTGTAACCTATTCCTCCTGTGTGCATTGCTGCCTTCCTTTTGCTGGACCCTCAGTGTGTTATACTACCTTCAACTTGGAGCTAAATTCAGAGGTGATGTGTAAAGACAAGCAGGTGTGGGTCTAAACTGAATAAGCATTTGTTTCCCCTACACCCAACACATCTCCCCTCCATACCAGCAGTTATACCTGAGGAAAGTTAAGAGAGGCTGCATTATCTTTGCTGGAGAGTCCTCTCCATGTTGGGAAACCCCATAGGACAGACAGGTGCCAGCTAGAGCATTCTTTGCAATGCTGTCCCATTGAGACTGTACTGTCAGCAAGCAGAGGTAGAGATGCAGAGGGCCCCAGAGTTGTAAAGGCACAGGACCTCACATTAATTGCTCTGTGTCATGGTTACAGCATTAACTGCACCTGTGACCCCTCTTCTGGTCTCTCTCAAATGAACCCCTTTAAGTGCTGGGGCCTAAGCCTTAACTCTTCTCAGTGTGGAAGCCCTCGATTCTCCCCCTCACAGACCCAGGTCCCTGAGCTATAAACATCCTTGTTCATCAACCGTGATTCCTCAGCAGCTCCAGCTGGGTTTGGCACCTGTTAAGAGACTTCCCTTCAGAAGCTGTCACCAGTAGATAAATGCAGTGACCCAGAGCAGCTTCTTCAAAAAAAAGTATTTATTATTTATTTATAGCATTTAGAGAATAGAGTTTGAACAACAAAAGGCCTACATGCAAATGGCTTACCTAAAGCTTAGCATTTCCCTCAGAGCCTCGGGAGGCCCAGCTCTTTAAGACCCATTCTGCAGAGTCTGTTTCCATGTGTCAGTCAGTTCTCCTTGAACAGTTTCCTAACAACCCAGTCTCTCCCCCAGACTCTGGATTTTTATCTAGAGTTCTTTGTTTCAGGTGTGCAGGTCCCTCCTACCCCAGTCAGGGAGTTTGAGGCAGATTGGTCAAAGGGAATAGTTCAAAAGCGTTGGCACCTGTTTTGTCAGTTAAGTTCCAGTGACTAGGTTATATAAAGCCACTAGTCTGCCTTCCTACAGACCTGCAGCAATCTTGTGTAGGAATTAATCCTTTGAACCACCTACCAAACAGCGTAACACTCAAATAGAGGTACACAATAGTCATAAAACAAAATACAGCTATCTCCCATGTTCTTCCTGTGAATCCATGTGGATTTGAAGGAAGGGGAAGCTGCCTTTTGTAGGCTAGAGTCCCGGTCCCTTCCGTGAGGCAACCTCCTTCTCACAAAAGTTTCCTGGCCCCTTGGTGTGTGTCTCTGTGTAGAATCACAATCTGGCCATGTGATCCTGGGAATCAAACATGCACCCTTTATATCCTTTTTCTTGGGTGCAATCCACTCTCTCTAATGCAGAGGAGACTGTTTCACCTTTCTTTGACTCGACATGTTCTACCATATCCCCTCACAAGGTTCCAGGAAACTGTGTTTAGCACTAGATGTATTCAGTAAAGGAAATTGTATAGCATGCATCTTCTTTTTTTCCCTCTCTTTTTTTGTTTTACTGTCACAACAAATTATAATCTACATTTTATTTTCTTAACTTCATTCTTGTTTTCAATGAAAGTTGAGTTAACTGCTCTGCTTTCACTTTGTTAGGTCAGGCACTGGTTTCAAAGGTCTGTACAGTGTCTAAAGAGCCACATTCATCACTATCTGTGTTTGATCTCTCTACAACATTAAGGATGCAAGAACCTTGCAGCTGCAGTTGGGCCCCAGAAGACCACATTTGCTAACTATGTGTTTACAAACACACAAAGCCTAGCTATATATATACATTGCTGCTCTGTTAGGTTTTGTTGGCTTCTGCAATACAAGGCAGGCAGGTTAACTAGTGGGCTCCCAAATGATTTAAAGGGATACTACCCAATTCCTCTATTTTACGCTAGCCTGTGAAGTAAATTGGAATTACTTTTTTTTATGGCAATTAAGGTTTCCAGTTGATTCTTTTTCAAAGAAAAAATGTAGTGATGAGACTAGCACTTAATGTTTGGATTTAAAGTTGCTGAACAGCAAATCCTACATTTTAGAGCAGTTTTGCAAAGAAATTTTTATACTTAACATTTGTGGTTGGCCTGTGCATAGGTTTTAGTGAGACAGGAGGGTGCACAGAATTTCTCTCCGCTCCTACCTCCCGACACTTCAAACCTCCTACTTGAAAACCAGCCACCCAGGCAGATCCTGTGCTTAGAGAAGTCCCTACTCCTCCCTCCAACTTCCCCGATACTCAAATACCAGATCTCTCATCATTGTCTCAGCTCCCTTGTGCTGCATTGGGGAAACACGGGTTCTCTTAAATGTGACACTGTCATATGAAGTGAACTTCCTTTCACAACTGTGTCCCTCATCACTGAACCTCTAGGTCTTTTCTGTGTATTCCCTGCTCTGTTCCCTTCTTACTCATGGCCTCTGTTCTTTCCTCTCACCCAAACTCCTCCCTTCTCAGCGGCAGTGTGGTCTGTCCCGCCATGCAGTCATTTAAATCAAAGGTGTGTGAGCACTGCTAATAAAACTTATACACCTGTTTTCTCTGGTCAGTGCTCTGTACCCGCTGCCTGTAACATATGCATAGAGGGCAGACCTGAGGACATAGCAGCCTACACAGCGCTTTCAGTCCATAGGAGGATGGACGGGCACAATGGTGGTGGACGTCCTACTATGACAATTTGGGGACTATGTCTGTACAGCATATGAATTCTTGTTGGTATTTGGGAAGTTCTTCTTAGGAAATCTGCTGTGTCATGGAATGCCTCTGTGTATCCATTATTGCTGACAAGCCTGTAAGCTGGTCTCTGTCGACTAGCGGCCATGGAGACTAGTTAACCTTAACAACTGTACTCTGGCCAGTCAATAGATATGCTAAGGAGATTGGCTGGAGCTGGGAGAAGTCATTTCTAGCTTCTTGGGTTTGGAGAGTGGGAAAATTAGCAGCAGCAGCACAAAGGAACTAGGTGGTGGGATGTATGAACTCCAGGGCCTCACAGAGAAACTCAGGTAGCTTTGGATCGAAGGAGAGGGGGACAGTCGGGCATAGTTTTGTAGCAGGGATTTAGCTAGAAGACCATCCAGGGTCAGAGAAAATAAGCTGACTTAGAGGAGGAGGAGGAGGAGATGCTCCATGTTTCAGAAGTCAAGTCATGAGCTGCAGCAGAAATATCCCGGACAACACCCCCACAGGACCCAGACTCCAGCCCAAAGAATGCTCCAGAGTGGTGGTAATCTGAGGCAGAGAAATTTGTGCTGGGTTTATTGTTGTTGCAGAGGTCTCTGCATTTCTCGTTCTTTTAAAGAAAAAGCAATGGTGTTTTAGAACCCTGTGCAAAATCTATCTTAATGTGTTTTATGTGTTACACCTATCGTGTGCTCTTGAAGAGTTAACCTGTAGGCCCACAATACCCACATGGCTGGAGTAGAGCAGCAGTTCTATAGTGCCTTCCATCTTAATATCTCAATGTTTGAAGTCAGAAGAAGTAGCAGACGTTCAATGCCTTTAGGATTTGGCTTTTGAAAGTGAAATATAAACAGACTGCTACAACATCCTTGTTTGAATAAGCAGCATTCTGTTTGACAGTTTTCAGCACTGCCTGCTTTAGAGTAGATTTGATGGTAGATGCCATGACAAATTCTAAAAGTTATAAACTATTGATAAACATCCTTTACTTTATTCTGTTCATCATTTTGTGCTTTGATTTCAGCTAGCAAAAGACAAACCATGGATTCAGCAGTTTTGACTGAAAATAGCTTTCTTGATTTGCTGCACAGCAATATTGATCCATTGCATCTATACAGCCTCTTGGATACAAGGTTATCTGATGAAGATGAAGAAAGTGAACTTTCAACAGGTTAGTAATGCAATGAATTGTCCTGCTGGTTAGCCAGGTCGTTGGATGAAAGTAGAAGATGCCATTACTTGACAAGGGCACTTTATTGTGATGGAGCTAATCTAAATGTAGATATGGAATTCTGATGTGATGACTCTAAATAATGGGGTATCCACATCCAGATACAGTAGTTGGTTCTAGATACTATCCTGGGTTAAATTTGTGTACCTGAGTTACAACTCTGTCTGTTCACCTTGTAGTTTATAACACACTTCTTTACATGTTGCTCATAATGAGCGGCTAATACCTTTGGCATTCATCTCATACAGCATAATTAAATGTTAAGTAAAAGCTTCCCTATGCCCTGTCCTGGTCAAGCTGGCAACCCCTCTGCAATTTCAGGCTGGTGTCTTTACTAAACAGAGACTTTAGCTGAGCCAGACTGAGTGAGGACAGACCGCCACAAACGAAACCAGCAAATTAATTTCCTCTGGTGATCCAGGATTTGACCTTAAATCTTGAGATAGATGACCAATGTACTAGCAGCTGCGGGGGATTTGGCCAGTTGCAGCATGATTTCTTAAACAAGGTTGGGAGGAGGCCATCTCTCTATGCATCTGGGGGCTCCCTTCCCAATTCCCAGGACCAACTGGGTTGGAGGCTGTTTCCTGTCCATTCCCTGACCCTCAAACCCACTCCTACCTGAGGATGTCATTGTGATTGCAGTGGTAAATCTGCAGTAGTAGGCTGGTGACCTCATGCAGTTTCCTGCCCTCACTGTACTCCTCCTCTGGGTTTCTCTGCGAGGGGAGGGGATCGGATCATCTGTGGCTCTGTTAATTTGGTGTCTTAGTATTTCTATGAGACCCAATGTATATTGAATGTTGAGACCGGACAAAGGCCTTCAGACCCCATGGGTGTTCTTTTAAACACCATTTACTATAAATTGATTCAGTACCTTGAACTTAGACAGTAGCTAAATAGCTTTTTTAAAAATGGACAGAAAGTCCCAGCTCTTAGCAGAGGGGAGCATGATTCTACCCTGCCTTCACCTTTGCAGTCACTTTATGTGAGTGTAGCATGTTACCAAGTCAGAATGGCACAAAGCAGTGGAGAATCAGACTTCAGAATCTGAGTCATCTCATGCTTAATTATTGCTGGTCTGAGATCAGGGGCTCACATTTGGCCTCTGAACTCCCAACTATGACTGATGCCTGCAGTAATTTGTCTGTGCAGATGGGGCCTTGCTTATGCTAGCAAAGTCTGAAAGCAGGATGAGTTAAAGATTTGGTTGTCTTGATAAGCATCACTGACTTGATCAATTACTTTACTCCTGATTGTCACCAGTGTGAGCAGAAAATCAGGCCCAAATTTTAAGCAGTTTACTTAGATTTGTTAGCCCGATGTGGTTTCCGTTCCTGTGCAAGGAGTTGGCCTTGAGTCAGTTCCTAGTGAACCAGCATCTATCACAAAACCACCACAGAATGAATGCTTGAGAGAGAATTAATAATTCTGGCTTTTTGACTTGTCCTGCCCCCTGAGTTTCTTTACCCTGGCCAAGGCATTCACTGACCTAATTATAACTTTTTTTTATTCTAGACCCTGAAATTGATACCATCAACCATGATCAGTTCAGCAATTTGGATGTCTTTTATACAATGGAAAGCAATGAAAGTGTGGAAGAATCTCTCTTTTCAAATACAGGGGAAGCTTATTCTAGAATAGGTATGAGATTTTTTGGGGTGTGTGGGTTGTTTTGGAGATAATTAGTCCAGTAAGGGGTTCTGCCCTGTAGAACCTTGAGTGCCTTTATGCTGTGCCACTTTATTTCAGACCCCTGACACCAGCAGCCTGGCCATAAGCAAAAAATCTTGGTTTCCGTCAGCCTAGTCCTTGCAGGGGGACACCAACAGCCCTTCCAGTCCCAAGTCACCCCAAATCCATCCTTCCTAAGTTCTTACCTACCAGACACATTAAACTAGCCCCCCAGTGATCAGCTCACTCTGGCACCTATGCTACACACGGGTTAAGCAACAGAGATCTGCTTGGTGTAAAAATAAACAGGCAGTTTATTTAATAGAAAAACCACAGACTCAAAGATGAACTAGTAAGAGAGAGCGAATGCATATAGGTCACAGAAAATAAACACAAAGACGCAACCTCAGGCTTTACACTTTCATATTAGATAAAATCCCTTTTCTAATAGCAGTTACCCTATTGCCATTAAATCAACTTATCTTATTTACAATGAAGGAGCAGCAGATGGAGCTGGGGCTGTCCCTGTTGGCTCCTTGTGCACACGTATAGGGCCTGCCCCATATGGGAGAGGGCTGGGGAGGCACAGAGTGCAGGTCCCATCTCTGCTCTCTGCAGCCAGGATTTAGCTGCTAGAATCTTGCTGTGGCCTCACCAAGCAGTAGTTTCCACAGCAACACCCTTATAAAGTGACACCTGAGCGTGGTAAATTGCCCCAGCAACAAGTCAGTTTAATGAGGCACAATTAGCTATACCAGGATTTGAGCCTCACACAGCACCATGTTCTGCAAACTCTCTGGTTTCACTACCAGAGAGAGGGAATTTTGACATTTAAATCAACTCACAATTTATCCTTAAATCGGTATATATTTATTTATTAAATAAAAAAGACTATACAAAATGTATTCTGTAGCTTGTGGGAATTCTTGATTGGCTGTGCCTCACTTGCCTAGGCTGACAAGCCATCCTGACTTTGAACAGTTTTCCTAGCAAACCCCCTAGCTAAGCAGGGATCCAGCATTTTGCAGACAGTTTCCTGCTTAGAGACTCCCCCTCAGATTCCAGGTGAAAAATTCAGTTTCAAGCCTCCTTTTTAAATGGCTTCTTTTCCTGCCCCCATCCCCTGGCATGGTGAGTAATGATCATTCAGAAAGGGAGCAATTCCCTCTTCACTTGATAGCTGGGAAGTCTCATTGTCTTCTCATTAACTTTAATGGTCCACCATAGTCTTTTCTGGGGCTGGGAAATGGGGTGAGTACTTGAAGCTAGTTTCATTGTAAACAACTGGCTTGGAAGGTGACCCTGCTTGACTGCTTCACCACCCTGCTGTGAGGTGAGGTTGAGCAGATTCATAACCACAGTCTGTATACATATCTTGACCATCAAATTCAGAACATTACAAGTTTTCACAAAAGACTTTGCTTAATATATGTATATAGTACAATAATACAGCATGCAATCCATTGATTTAACCTCTGTTTTTGGGGGGTTAAACTTTCTGTTCTGTGTTTGGGGTGTCTGGACCCTGATTATCATAGGGGGAAAGTGGTACATCAGCTATGAATACTGTTACTTTTTCCTTGCTCTCTATACTGGTTCCTTACAAGTTATAATTTGATCACAGTAAATTAGTAATGCCTAACTTCAGTCTCATTTCGTCCAATATAGTTAGTATTTTAACAATTACATGATTAAGATCTAATGTTTTTCAATAAAGCCCACCCTGATATCCCCCCTAAAAATATTCAAAACACCTAGGTCACCTAAAATTGCTATATTTCTTAAATATAAAAAGTATAAATTAGTTTAACCGTCACTGTTCATAAGATGTGCCACATCAAAGTGGCAATTCTGTGTCCCACGCTTTTTATATTAATGATGCTAGATACATATATTGTAATGTGAATATATGTATGATTATTAACTGTCTCAATAAATATAAGTAATTAGGACCATTTCCTGCTCTCAATGAAAGCAATAAGAGTTTTCCATTGACTTCCCAAGAGCAGAATTGATCCCATAGGACCTGAACCACTGAAGTAAGTAGTCACTCATATGAGTGAAGCTTGCTGGTATGAATAAGAGCTGTAGGACCAGACCCATAGAGTGTATGGCTGGGAACCCTAACTTACTGCTTTTCTAAAGTAGTAATGGGTCTTTCCAGTTTGAGTTTTATTAACATGTACATGTGAAATCCTTTTGCTTGACTCTTAGGTGATTTCTTCCCAATCACAGGAGTGAAAATTGCTTTAAGCAACACTAAATAACAGTCCTTCTATGAAATAAAAGAGGTGTCTATACACCCCACGCACATGCACACACACAATGTACTAGCTAGTGTTATTGTAATCAGTTTGTACATCTCAGGAGCAAAATGGTCACCCTTAGCTGCTGGATATGTTTTGGTTGGCAAGGAGAAAAAAAACTCCATTAATGATTCTTTCCTGATCAACATTTCCTGTGCTAACTTCTTATTTCTAGTGCCCTGTGCTTCCCACACACTACATTTATTTAATAAGTAAAACTAATGTACATTTCTTACTCTCCTTTCAGACCTTGGACTTTTGTACATGAGAATAATCTACACTAATTTGTTCTTAACTGTGTCATTTACCATACCATTGTGCTCTTTTTTTCCCCTTCTTGTTAGCTGGATTAGCAGAATATGTGCTCAAAGATCAGCAGGAGAGACAGATGGAAGACATTTTTGGTAAGGTTTTAACATGAGGCAAAGTTTAGATATGATTGCTCTCTATAAATACATCAGAGAGATAAATACCACAGAGGGAGAATTATTTAAGTTAAGTGCCAATGTTGACACAGAACAAATGGATATAAACTGGCCATCAATAAGTTTAGGCTTGAAATTAGACAAAGATTTCTAACCATCAGAGGAGTGAAGTTATAGAACAGCCTTCCAAGTGGAGCAGTGGGGGCAAAAAACCTATCTGGCTTCAAGATTGAGCTTGATAAGTTTATGGAGGTATCATGAGATGATTATGATAGTCCCTTCTGATTGTTAAGTCTATGAGTCTAAATCAGTGGCAGAGCCAAGAGTAGAATCCTGGTTATCAGACTTTTGGTCCATCTGTGGTAGTGTGGAGCAGCAGCCAAATGATTGGGACAATATTTACTTGCTTCCTATTAACACTTTTAAAAAGTTGCATGACTTATTTTTATCCCGCTTTGGTGCATTTTTGGCTTGGATTTTGCTCTTATTAGTTAATGGCAAAATTCTTGTTGACATCAGTGGAAACAAGATTGGGCCAATGGTTGGACTGAAGTATTTGTAGTTTAAATTAAAGAATGAACCTGGCAACATGTCAGTTCTGATAACACAAATGATTTCACTGAAAAGATCTTTATGATTCCTTGATGTGTTTTAAAACGGAACTAATTCTTTGGGATATAAAACTGAGGCACAGATTAAATGACTGGCCTATGGTCACACGGCAAGTCTGTGGTTCAGCTGAAGGGAGAACCCAATAGTTGTGATTTCTAGTCTCCTCTGTTAGTCACTAGACCATTCTGAAGCACTTAAATTTAACAACTAGATTCCTTGGTGTGTGATGATCTTCTGCATTGTGGAAGTTCACCAAGGTGACAAAATCCGATTTCTGTGGATGTTGCATCCTTTGCAGGTTTGGAGTACACTCCCAATCCCTTATTTACAGAATTTATCCTGATTTCAGGACACTATGCATTTGGTGCTTGAAATTAGTTTTTAACTTTGCAGTATCCTTTGGGATCCTATTAATTCAGATTTGGCAGTAAGTTGTTTTTGTTTAACAGGAAAACTCATTTTGGATGAAATGTCCAATGAAACTACAGAGGGTTTTACAGAGATGAAGAAGCAAAAATGTCAGAAACGATGTAAGTGAAACAGCATTTGTGGCATTGCCAGGAGCAATTAATCTAGGGACCTGGAATGTTTTAAAGCTCCTTCCATGCAACCATAAACTACCTGCATGGCAGGGACATTTGTTTTTAAAGGAACACTGGTGCCCCTCTCATGCCAAATTCTTCCTTAGCATAAGTAGCTGCAACTCTTCTGAATCCAGTGGAGCTGTGCCCACTTAAACCAGTGGTGACTTGTCCACTTAGGGTGACCAGATGTCCTGATTTTATAGGGACTGTCCCGATTTTTGGGTCTTTTACTTATATAGGCTCCTATTACTCTCTACCCCCTGTCCCGACTTGTCACCCTTGCTGTCTGGTCACCCTATGTCCACTCTTCCTCTGATGTGCATTAGAATCAATTAAAAGATGCTCCTTATTTTACTCTGATATTTTCAATGATTTGTTGGCATGTAACGTGGCACTGTGAGCATGTTTTTAGCTTTTATAACCCCTAGCTTTGCTTTGCACCAATGTGGCAATGTTTTAATTTTGCTTTAGATTAATTCTAGCTTAGTAACTATCAACTGCATTATTCCTTTTTTATTAAAAAACAAACAAACCAATCAATCAATCACTCAGCGTTATTGATACAAAAATCTGCGCCCTATTCAAAAATGTAGGGTCAGAGTAAAATAACCCAGGCTACTCACTTTCATATTTAATATGCTAAAAACCTCCACTTCTGAGGTAATTTGAAGCTGCCTCAGAATTTCAAGGGAGACAAGGCAAGTGAGGTAATATCTTTTATTGGATCAGCTTCTGTTGGTGAGAGAGACAAGCGTTCGAGCCACACAGAGCTCCTCCTCTTCAGGTCTGGGGAAGGTACTCTGAGCATCCCAGCTAAATGCAAGGTGGAAAAGATTGTTAAGCGTAAGTAGATAGCCCATTTTCTAAGGGACCAGAATTTCTAGTCTGCCACAAGTGGTTGGCTATAGCATGCACAGAACTCTGGTTATGCCTCTGCTAACTTCCCATCTTATTTAACATGCATAAATTAGGCTCCACTAACAGAAACCTTGAATTATCAAACTAGATTCAACTTACATCACTATAAACTTTCTTATTTTTAGCATTTGTGAGCCCTGCAGAGAGTTACTCTGATGCTTCCAAGCCCAAAAGCAGGAGAACGGGTGAGTTATTGGCTGAAGGATTTTGAGTGTACCTTCTCTGTTGTTCTGATGTCCATAACACTATTGAGGCATTAAACAAAAGTACTGTAACTCCTGCATACTTGGGAAAGGCTGGATACACTAATAAGGTGACGTATCATTACAGTGGGTTTCTCTGGCTTAATGCTAAAGAATAGCACAGGTTGGGTTATGGTCATATTCTGCCCTTAATCCATACACCCAAATCTAATTGTTATTGTAACAAACCTATGGCCACCTAGATATATCAGTGGTCATAATACTGCACACCTTGGAAATGCCTCATGGCAGGGCAAAACTTGGATCCTGCTGTTCCAAAAGCACAGGCCTCCACTGTTTGAGTGAAAGGACAACTCCATTAGCAATTAGCAACAGAGAGCCTACGAGGCACAGTCAAGCATTTCTGATTCCATCTAGCAGAGGGAAGTACTGTGGAAAACTGTGAAATATCTGTGTTATTTCTTATGAGTATTGTGCATATGTGTATTTGATGAATTACTTGTTCTGGACTTGGATCAGAAGGGGAGGAACCAAGCAGAAAGGGCCATTCAGATAAGGAACATCCTAACAAACACAAAAATAGTCAGGTTACTAGCTGCGAAGAGGCAACTCCTCACTCAATCCTGGTTACTCAGCTCTTCTGCCAAGGCAGAGAACCTGGAGGTCAGAAGACACAGATTACTTAAAAGATCAGCCCTGCAGCTGTGGAGAGGGGTGGAGTTACTGGTTGCTTTAGGCTAACACAGACTGATCCAAGGCAGGATCTACAGAAAGCAGGTTGTAACTTGGTCCCCAAGAGAATGGGAGACACCAAGGCTAAAACCTGTCTATCTAGGAGCTTGTGTGGATGGCCAGGTGTAGGTAAGTCACTTGGTTTAAAATCCACTGCTGTGAGCCCTTTTGCAAATAAACTATACCTTGTTTTGAAGAAGCTGCTTCTGTGTCACTGCAAACTGTCAATGCCCACAGACTCCCAAAGGGAAACTCTTGCAGGTACCAAGCTTCCAGGGTTTGCTAAATATCACAGCAGGCATGGGCGTGCAACCCAGAAGCCCAGTCAGAGAGTGGTAGGATTGCAGGATCCCCACCCCAGGAGGTAAGGGCCTGTCACTTGAAAGGGGTGCACTCAGACTGGGAAAGGGTCTCAGAAGGGCCAGCCACACACAAGGTAGCCCATCACAGTGTCAATTGGAGTTTTGTGAACAAAGCTAGGGTATTGTGCCACCCCTAATGTGGAAAATACACTTGATAGACTTAAAAAACTAAATAAAGCCCTTGGTGAATTGCTACCTGCTATTTGTGGTTTATTTAGGTAGCACATTCCCTATCTGTACTGAAGCTCCAAGATCATGTTAAAATTGCCTGCAGATTAACCCACAGTATTGACTTTAAACCACCCATGCAATTTCTTTTTTATATCATGCATTTCTAAGGATTTATTTGTATTTCAGTAATGCTCACAATCAATCTCCGTCGAGGATGGGGGTGCTAAACGTTATAGATGCACATAATGAAAAGATGGCCCTGGGTCCAGAGAGCTCACAGCCTGTGCAGTAGTGTGCAATCTGAGGCACAGTTGTAGAGCTCATACTTACATTTTGCAAAGTAGGACATAGTTTTGTGGCATTTATGGAGGTTGCTCAGATAGTGTCACTGTCTCCATCTTAACAGATGCAGCAACGAGGGTAAAGGAACGAGTATGTACTGAAGGCAGCAGAGCTGTTGGGGATGTAAGAGCTAGTTGCCAGAAAAGAGGTGAGCACTTTGAAAATGCCTCGTAACTTCATTTTGCATTTGATAAAGTGAGAGCAACTGAGTAACCCTGGAAAACCAAACATACCAGTCCTTTGAAAATTCAATATATATGCCAGCAATGAACGAGAGGGTTATATTTACCCAAGTTCTAAATAAAATAGGAACACCTATTGCTATTATTTATTATTTATATATTTATTACACCTCTACCCCGATATAACGCGACCTGATATAACACGAATTCTGATATAACGCGGTAAAGTAGTTCTCCGGGGGAGGGGGGGCTGCGCACTCCAGCGGATCAAAGCAAGTTCGTTATAACGCGGTTTCACCTATAACACAGTAAGATTTTTTTGGCTCCCGAGGACAGCGTTATATTGAGGTAGAGGTGTATTTACAGCTGAGATTACTACAAAGGAAATCCTACTGTATTGGTACCCTCACCATGAACTAAAGACTTGTCCAAACATACTGGAAGTGTTGGGATCAGCAAAACCAAAATGTACAGTACAGTAACTGCTCGCTTAACGTAGTTAGGTTCCTGAAAAATGCAACTTTAAGCGAAATAATGTTAAGTGAATCTAATTTTCTCATAAGAATTAATGTAAATAGGGGGAGTTAGGTTCCAGGGAAATTTTTTTCATCAGACAAAAAACTATGTTTTATTTTTATATATACACAGCATATGTTTTAAACAAACAATTTAATACTGTACGCATCAATGATGATTGTGAAGCTTGGTTGAGGTGGTGGAGTCAGAGGTTGGAAGAGGGTGGGATATTCCCCAGGGAATGCCTTACTGCTAAATAATGAACTAGCACTCAGCTGAGTCCTCAAGGGTTAACACATCGTTAATGTAGCCTCACACTCTACGAGGCAGCATGGAGGGGAGACAGCATGACAGACAGAGACAGAGACACACACCCTCTGTGTGTGTGTGTGTGTGTGTATGTGTGTGTGAGAGAGAGAGAGAGAGAGACGCATTGTCCCTTTAAGTACACTGACCCCACTCTGAGTACATTGCCTTTTTAAATATATCAGGAAGTTGAGAGAGAAGCTGCGGCCAGCAAGCTCTCTCCCTCCTGAGCCCTGTTGTCTCTCCCCCTGCTCTATGGATAGGGTAAGCGGGGGGCAGGAGCGGGGGGAGGGGGACACCCTGACATTAGCCCCCATCTTGCCCCCCTCCACCTCCCCTGCACAGCAAGCAAGAGGCTCCCATGAGCAGCTCCAAGGCAGATGGCAGGAGCAGCACACGGCAGTGAGGGGAGGGACAGCTGAACTGCCCGGCAAATGATAGCCTGCCGGGCGGCTGCCACACAGGGAACTTAGGGGAGCGAGGAGCTGAGGGGGGGAGGTTCCAAGCCCTCCCTCCCCCCAGCTAGCTCCAAGGGGCTGCTCTTCCTGCAAACAGTGGACAAAGCAGGCGGGTGCCAAACAATGTTAAGGGAGCATTGCATAACCTTAAATGACCATGTTCTCAGCAATGTAACAACGAAACAATCTTAATCCTGATGATTTTAAGTGAGGAGTTACTGTATTGTATCTGTATCATTAGCAGATTATTTCAAAATAAACAAGGACAAATATTTCTTACATTTAAAACTATTTCTCTGGTTGCTTTAATGAGTCAGTGGTGCACATAGCAATACAGACTATCAAACTGTTTACTATGTACCATGCACAAAAAGGTCCTGATCCAAATACTGCATGCAGGACAGAGCACCTTTTCAAACCCTTATAAGTTATCAAGTTTGAATAATCAGGCAGGCATAAGAGGTGGTTTCATTTGTCTAAAGAAAGTTTGTCATTGTTTATGTGAAACTTTTCTAAGGAAGTTCGGCCATCCTTACTTCCCCAGTAAGACCTAGGCAGAGACCCAAGATGAGGGGCCTTATTGTATGCAGCTTCCTCAGTCTTGTACTGCACCGTATAAGGCAGTGGACCATGTCTGGGAAACTGAGCACAACAAGCTCTCGTATTGACTCATTACCTCATATTTGGTAATAATTTACACTTAGTCTGAATATTTACATGCCTGAAGCTATTTAGGAGGAGGACAGGCCAGGAACACTGAACTTGTTCTTTTAAGCTAGTGAAGACGCTGCAGAATCGTCGACACACACACTGTATTCCTACGGCCATAGTAGCTGGCTGCTACAGGAAGTTCTGCTAAACATGTCCGTACACTTCAGAGTTTGGATACCATTTTTTTGGCAGCTCAAAACACTTTGCTGATTTGATGACTGTCAGATGACTTGTGTCTTATGCTGCAAGATCTTCTGTGGTCTGTCTGACTTTTGTAAGAAACTAACATCCTTTAACGCTGTTTGCTTTTTAAAGTGGAGTCCCCCGGGTCTACAGTGAATGGCAGTTTTGTAGCGGTGCCTCTGAACAGCTCTCCAGCTAACTCCACCTCTTTGTCTCACCTGCACATGCAGTTTTCTGTTACCAGTATACATCCGACTGGAAAAAATGTTGTGATGCCCGGTATGTACAGTATAGCTACAGCTTTCTACCCCTACACAATAGAGAGAAAGCGTGAAACTCTTCACCCAAACCCTTCACTGTAGCATGCATCCATCTCCTTCACATCAGGACATGGTGGTGGGGCTTCTCTGTACCCCATACAGTTGCAAGGGGCTGCTGGGAGGCTGTTTCCTCTCAGTGTGGGGCAGTAAAACTGGCTCCCCTCAATTGCTTGCTGATAGCATGTGCCACAAGATGGAGAGGCAGGGATTCCTCCTTACCCTCCTCCTCAGTTAGAAACTACTCTTCCTCTGCTCAGTCAAAGGGAAAGTGAGTGTGAAAATCCCCTTGAATGCAGCACTCTGAAACTGGTTGGTTAATTCATTCCATGGTGGTCAGTAAAATTTAAAGGTCACTGTAAGAGCAGTGCTTCAACAGGTTTCTATCATTCATTTTGACTTTGGTTTTTCTGCCAGCGCCCCTGGGAAAGGCTTTGTAGACTCAGTTAGTTTTGCTGTGATTTGTACAACTGCTGTATTTGTCAAAATCTAATGAGCCAGGGAATGTTTGGAGTTACAGCTTTGAGTCTGGAGGCAACTGAGAACTTGATTTAGGTAGCTGATATTAGTTAACACAGCACCAGCTCTACAGAAGCTCTACCTGCTGCAGAGCTGTGACAGGTGATCAAGTTACAAGCAGTGCATCATCAGAACACACTCTTGGGCTGATTCTGTCTGGAGGAGTAATGCTTCCTTGCTGCCGGTGCATGCAGCAGTGTGAGCGTAATCACATGGAAAGGCTGTGATAATGCATGAGTCTCCTAATCACTTTGAGGGCAACACAGCATCTCAGACTCCATAATGTATTCATTTACGTACAGTAGCCTCATGCACATTAACCTGCAGTGCTACAAACCACACCAAGAGCGCCATCAGCCTTAATATTTTATGTAAACTGTAAATAGTATGTCTCTCTATGGGAGGCCTTTGGCAATGAACTCTTTAATCTTTTCAGTACCCTATGAATTTTCAATAGGTTTTTGCCATTCTGAATGCTCCAGCTGAGAATGTGCATAAAGATCACCACTGAGAGCAGGAAGGGCTGTAGCCCACTATTAGGAATCGAGTCTGGTGGCACCTTAAAGACTAACAGATTTATTTGGGCATAAGGTTTCGTGAGTAAAAACCTCACTTCTTCGGATG